CCGACCCTTTGAGACCAAATGGACTGTAGCCCGCCAGGCTCCTCCGTCCGTGGAATTTTCCAGGCAAGAATACTGGAGTGTGAGGCTATTTCCTGCTCCAGGAGATCTTCCCCACCCAGGGATCGAACCTGCGCCTCCGGCATTAGCAGGCAGATTCTTTACACTGGGCCACCTGGGAAGCCCAACATCATGGCATTGGTAACATTTCCAGGGGTTTGGAGATTCTTTGGCTCTTGTCTTTGGTGATCAGCCATCAGTCAAACGGACAGTATTTGTCTTGTGAATTCCTCTTGCGCTGGCAGGAAATTTGATGATAAAGAGAAGGGGTGGGACCCAGAGCTCCAAGGTTTAAGTGGGAGGACATGAGAGCTTGTTTCTCTGCTGGAAACCATTGTCTCCATCCTGCCCACGACCCTGTCTGTGGAGGTGGGCGACAGGGAGGAAATGGTCTCCAGAGAGTGTATTTCTCAGCTGCATACTCTGGGAATTCAGACTTCCTGAATCTCTAGACAGCAGGCACGAAAGGGCTTTTCCCAGATGTCTCTCTGTGGCAAGAAGGGCAGGCAACCAAGCCCTGTCTAGAAGTGCTGATGGCAGGATTTGGTTTGCAGGATCCTACTCCATATCTGGAAGAGGAGCCAAGAGAAAATGTTGCTTGCTAGGCCTTTGGATGTGCCTGTTATATTCCTACACTGCGAAGCATTTAGCACTGTAAGCCAAATGCAAAGATAGAGTTGGACCCTGAGGGGTGAGTGACTTGCCAACGCAGCTAGTGGGAGACGTTTTTGCTGTTTGGCTTCATGACTTGCTTTGCCAATGAAATGTGAGCATGTAGAAGCTTTTAATAGCCAGTGAGTGGTTCATCATCTTTTCTTCCCAATTCCCTGAGACCAGCAATGGTCCATACAGAGGCTGTTCCATCCGCCTGCCTCTGGAAGTAAAGATGATATGGATTCAAAGTCAAAATCAAACCAGAACAGACATATATTATGACCAAGATATATCAATACTTTGCACATCGCTGGTGGTTCAGTGGGTAACACTCCATGCTCCCAATGCAGGGGACTCAGGTTCGATCCCTGGTCAGGGAACTAGATCCCACATGCTACAACTAAAGAGTTTGCATGCTGCAACTAAGACCCAGCACCGCCAAATAAATAAAAGTAAATAAATCAATATTTTTAAAATGGGTAGCAGAACCTGAAAACACTCGAGCCAGAAAAGACACGCAAGAAGTCACTAAGTTTTCAACTACTTTCTATCTCCACCCTGAGCCAATGCCCCAGACTTCTCCATGTTCTTTCATGCCTTCAGGTACCTTCCTTACATTTCTCTCTCCCAACACGAGATGATCCTTTTATCAACCGGCTACAGCTGGGAAACTGACAACCGTGATGCCCCAGTGACGTGCAAGAACAGACTTCATTTCTCATTCACACGTCTGCAGCTTGGCTGGAGCACTTCTGCATCCCACATGGAAGTTCTGCAGGTCACGTGGGGAGCCTCTGCTCCCATGTACATTTTTTCTGGGGCCAATGGACTACTGGAGGTTTATTCTGCTCAAGCAAATGGCAACAGCACAGGAGGGCAAGCCCTACCACTCAAACACGTTCCCAGCCTTTGCTTGTGTTGGGTCTGCTAATATCTCAGTGGCCAGGGCCGGTCACGTGGCTTAACTCAAGGCCAAGGGGTTAGTACGATCTACTAGCCAGGAGATTACAGCTGCAGTGTGGATACACTGCTCCATAGTGGGGTGAAGAATTGGGACCCAGGACCCAATCAAACACACTGTTACTCCCCCCCACCCCCAACATCATGCTGAAGTTTCAAACTTACTACTGAAACACCAGGAATGAGGATACAGTGGGTATAACATAGGTTTGGGCCTCCGCTTTTCCTGGAGAGACAGGTGTGTATTTAATATTTACTTTTTCATATTATTTTGGCGGTGCTGGGTCTTCGTTGCAGCCTGTGGGCTCTTTGTTGCGGAGCATGGGTTTCTCTATTCTCTAGTTGTGGCGTGCAGGCTGAGTTGCCTCACGGCATGTGGGATCTTAGTTCCCCAACCGGGGATCCAACCGGCGTGCCCCGCATTGGAAGGTGGATTCTTAACCACTGGACCGCCAGGGAAGTCCCCAGGTGTATATTTAAAGAGAGAAGAAATTAAGAGGTGCAAGCAGCAGGTAAATTGCTCAGGCAGATGGGGCTCTGGAGAAGGTTTGGAAACAAGTGAGAGATGCAGACCATCATTCCTTTCTCTGGTCCTAGAGAAGCATCTTGGTGTCTGGCCAGGTTCTTCCCTGCATGGGCATGCCCCGTGGGCAGGCAAACGGGAGGTGTTTTTTGGTGACAGGAGGAGGAGGCATTGTCCAGCTTTGAGTCAGGGAATGAGAACGTATCCCCTTTGCCAATGATCTTGCGGTAGTTCTGATGACAAGACAAAGTCTCCTGAGCTAGCTTGGCTCTGCGGCCTGTCTTACACTTGCTGATCTTCCTTTTTAACAGACCCTAAACCTCAGGCTCATAGACTCTTTCGGGCAACAGTATCTGGTTTGAAGGTACTAACACTGTTTTCTCTGGGTAGTGTTTATATTTGCAAGTTTGTCTCTTATTTTTGGTAGCTGGGCATTGGTTTCCTGTTTACCATATGATATAGGGCTTCCTTTTTTTAAAATAAACATAGTTAGATAAACAGAATTGATTGAAAGAAAAATATTAAGTGAATACTGGTTCAGCTGGTCTGTGGATATGGCGGAAATCATGGTGCATGTTTTGTAAGTAGTGATATAGTGGGAGGAGGAGAGTGAGGTTTGCAACAGTCAGAGTGGGTTCAAATTCACACTCCATCTCTCGGATAGGGCCTTTGGGTGAGTTACTTAGGTAGCTCTTCTGAACCTCAGTTTCTTTATGGGCTGTTGTGTCATGTTCGTAGCACAGCGTGAGGGCTCAGCAGACAGCAGAAACACACCTCTCCAGCGTCTACCTGGACTGTCGATTCTGGGAGAGCCTTTGGGTTTTTCTGTCTCCCAGATGGCCACGGGACAGGCAGGCATCACTGTTCCTGCTGGTGGTGGGCCCTGCACAGACCCCCCTCTGCAGCAGCCAGACCTCCTCTCCTCCCCTTTTATGTGGGACCTCAGTTCACATGGACACCTTCCTGGCCCCTTGCCAGCCCCACAAAGAATCTCTTGCTTGGGAGATGAAAGTCTTGATTAGTCATAGAATTTCAAAACGAAACCAAATGTGGGATGTCAGACACTTGTCCTGCTGGGGAACCTCAAGATGGGGCTTGAAGCGGCCCTTTGAAGGCTGCTTCAAATTGCCTAAGGATCTCTAATCTAGACCCAAGGAGGCTTTCCCCTTGCACAGTTTCCCATCAGGATTGAAGAAAGACTCAACACGGGACTTCCCCAGTGGTCCAGTGGTTAAGAATCTGCCTTCCGATGCAGGGTACACCAGTTGGATCCCTGGTGGGGCAACTAAGATCTCACATGCCTAGGGGCAACTAAGCCTGTGTTCTGCAACTACTGAGCCCACACATTGCATAGAGAAAGTCTGGATGAGGCAATGAAGACTGACTGCAGCCAAAAAAAAAAAACCACTTCAGAAAATTTAATTAAGCATGGTTTCCCAGCCAGACAAATTATCACACAATAAGTTAGCATTTCTTAAAAGAGTAAATAATTCTTTTGTTATTGGCACAAGTCCATTGCCTTATATTTTGGGGTGTGTGACAGTAACATTAACCTGTTCAATTAAAAGCTTAAAAATGTACTGTAATATTGTTGTGGTCCTGTTTTGGAATTTCTTCAACTTTTTCAACAGTAAATCCTCCCTCCCCACCACAGCTCACCCCCCACAGATGGGAGTCAGGCCCCTCTGACCTTTTCCTTTATCCCACAAGAGCCTCCAGGGCAGATTAACCCTCTCAGTCCCAAATGAGGAAACTGAAGGTGGAAAGAATTTTGTCTTTTGGTGTCATTTCCAGGGACAATAAATTCCATGACTGTGGTTTCAAAACATGTGTGGTGGTTTGTGTGAGGCAGACTCTGGGGGAGTCCTAAGATGGGGTCTCTGGCTGCCCAGCCACTTCCCACCAAGGTCAGGGACTCTGTCAGAAAATAAAAACAACCATAGCTCAGATTGGTGGTGGTTTAGTCGCTAAGTCGTGTCCCACTCTTTCGACCCCAGGGACTGTAGCCCGCTGGGCTCCTCTGTCCATGGGATTTCCCAGGCAAGATTACTGGAGTGGGTTGCCATTTCCTTCTGCAGGGGCTCTTCCCCACCCAGGGATCGAACCCAGGTCTCCTACATTGCAGGCAGGTTCTTTACCACCTGAGCCATCAGGGAAGCCTATAACTTAGATTAACTCAGTTTAGATTGATCGAGCTTAGATTAACTGAGTTTAGATTAACTGAGTTTAGATTGATTGAGCTTAGATTAACTATGTACCAGGCACCCTCAGGTATGACCCTTTCCGGGCGTACAGTAACCTAAGGAAAGCGGTTCTACTGTGACTTCATTTCCAGAAGGGGAAACTGAGGCAGGAAAGATGAAAGAAAAGCTCACTGCATTGAGAAAAAGGCCAGGGAAGGGGTGCTAAAGTAGGGAGTCGATTCCCGAACGCTCGTGCTTAAGCCTTACGGGAGGGGGAGAGAACGGGGAGAAGACGCGCAGGGGTGGAGGGAGACGGGCGAACGCAGCGCAGAGAGCCTTCGAGCGCCCACTGCCTCCTTCCTCCCCCCGCACCGGGCTACCAGCTCTGCCCCAAAGTTGCCCAAAGGAGCGCAGGGGGGCGGGCTGGGGCTGGGGGCGCTCCCCGGGCTCCGGCCTTCCCCTCCCGGGTCCCCCACCCGCCTCCCGCGGTCCCTCCCCGTCGGCTCTCCGGGCTCCTGACATCACGCCCCGGGAGGCGGTGTCGGGAAAGGAGGGGGACGGGGGGAGGAGGCTCGGCGCCAGCGAGAGGGAGGAGGGAGAGCGCGCAGTCCCAGCCCAGAGCTTCAAAACAGCCCGGCGGCCTCGCCTCGCGCCCCAGCCCGTCGGTCGGTCCAGCCACCCGCGTCCGGTGAGTCGGGGGCGCGCCTGGGAGCCGCGCGCAGGTCGGGGCGGGGGGCTCCGGGCAGCGAGAGCCGGGACAGCGGGGGGCGTGAGCCCCTGCAAGTACCCGACGCAGGGAGATCCCTGCGATTGGGGCTGGGGGGGCAGGGAGAGGCCCCCTCCCTGCGGAAAATCCACTGTTCCTCCGCCAGATCGCACCGGGGCCGACTTCCCGCCTGCCCCGGCCCGCCCTGGATCTCGGATTCCACCTCCCCACCCCGGGACTGCTTCCTTCGCCTTTCGCGCCGAGGCGGGCGGGAAAAGTTTGGGGAGGAGTCAGGGCGACTCCCTTCGCCCCCGTCAACGCTACTCCCAGGGCTCTGGGAGTCCCGGGCCGTCTCCCTCTCGTCGTGTGAGAGTCCCCGGCGCCTTGGCGCGGGTCCCCCGCCTAGTGGGAGCGCGCGGGACCTGCTGCGCGCAGGCGGGGTAGGTGGGTCCCTCTCGGCCCCCGGCGACGGCGGCGGCTCCGTTGCGCCCCCCAGCGGCGAGAAGCTGCTGACTTCTGTCTGGGGCGGTGGAGGGGCTTGGGGGACGCCTCCGTCCCCTCTCCCCTGCGGTTGGACCGGGGAGGAGCATGGAGGGCCCCACCCATCGGTCCAGAGCGAGGGGAGGCTAGCGTTCCTGTATAGAAAGCCTATACACTCTCCTCAAACCCAGGGTCCTAAACCCCCCGGTAAAGAATCTGCCCGCAATGCAGGAGACCTGGGTGTGATTCCTGGGTTGGGAAGGTTCCCTGGAGAAGGAAATGGCAACCCACCCCAGTATTCTTGCCTGGAGAATCCCATGGACAGAGGAGCCTGGCCGGCTACAGTCCAGGGGGTCTCAAGAGTCGGACACGACTGAGCGACTAAACCACCACCACCAAATCCACCCCAGGGAGGCCCTGTTTGGGGGCTGACACGGGAACCTCAAGAATGAGGGTTAGGTGGGGGCACCTGTATCTGCGGGAGACCCCACATTGCAAAGCCCCTCCCTCCAGGCCACCGAACCCACCTCTGACTTTGGAACAAGAATGACAGCCCAGTTTCAGGTTTGGGAAAACGGTCAGTGCCCCCTCCCAGGCTCCAAAGGGGTGCATGTGAAGTGCTGGGGGTGATCTTTGAACTTAGCTGTATCTAAAATGCAGGGACCTGGTAACAGGTGACCAGCAGAGTGAGGAGTAAGGTAAGGGGCTTGGAGAGGGTCTTGAGAAGCCAGTGGCCCCAGTATTTTATGCCTTCACTGATCAGAGACACCTAGAATAGGCGAGTTCATAGGGACAGAAAGCAGAGTAGTGGTTAGCTGGGCCAGGGGAGAGGGATGGGGAGTCCTTGTTTAATGGGTATAGAGTTGGGGAGGATGCAGAGATTTGGGGTATAGATAGTGGTGACGGTTCTATGACACGGTAAATGTATTTAATGGCACTGAATTCTACACTTAAAAGTAGTGAAAATGATTAATGTTATGTTTTGTATATCCTGCCACAATTAAACCGGGTCTGCAGCCACCTCTGTGCTTCAGTCTGAATCAGCTAGAAATCTGGGAGGCCAGTCACGGTTGCTGGCCACCTCTCCCCAGAATGTGGCCTCAGTATAAGGAAGTGGAAGGAGGGTGAGGAAGGGACTGGAGCCAGGTTTCCCCAGGAGTCTGGAAGGGACGAGGAAGGGAACCGAAGCTGATGGAGTCTCTGCAGGGCATGGCACTCTCCAGCACTCCTGGAAGCCACCCCCCACCACCTCACCACCATGCACCAGCCCCTCCACGCTCCCAGGCTGCAGGTGGGAAGAGCCAGGCCAGAGACCTTAAGTCAGTTTCTCAAGGTCCTTGAGCTAGTAGGTGCCAAGAGCCACACTCTGGATCTCCGCCTGTTTTCCCTAATCCCTGTTCATAGTGCCACCTGGAGATGCCCTGGGGGGACTTGGAGAGGCAGGGGGAAGACCATTCTGGGGAAATCAGGGCCCCGATGCCCACGGGGGCCTTGGCAGATGCCAAGCCTGAGGCAGAGGGAGGGCGTGGGGGTGGCAGGAGGGTGCAGAACCTGTTTTCCCACCTAAGGTTTTTGGATCAGCGTCCTCCACCCTCACTGGGAATTGGGGAGTGGGAGGCAGGGACTGGGCCACATAGCCTGTAGCTGCCTCTGTCCTTCCAGTGGGGAAATTGAGATTCACCCGAAATCTGGCTCCAAAGGTCACTGCGTTGGAAGCCACAGAGGGGGCCCAGAGGGCGGGTGAGGGCAGGACCAGGCTGGTGGGCACTGATACTGCGCTTCCCCACCCAGAGGGACGGGGCCAAGCCTCTTCTGCCTTCCAGGCCCCAGATTAGGGCACAGTTTATGAGGGGCTTCCCAGGTGGTACAGTGCTTAAGAATCCACCTACTAATGCAGGAGACAGGAGATGCGGGTTTGATCCCTGGGTCGGGAGGATCCCCTGGAGGAGGACATGGCAACCCACTCCAGTATTCTTGCTCGGACAATCCCATGGCCAAAGGAGCCCAATGGACTCCCGGAGTCCATGGGGTCACAGAGTTGGATGCGGCTGAGCATACACAGCACACAAGAGGGGCTGACAGAGGTCCGTGGCAGCTAGTCGTGGATCCAGGGCACAACCATCCTGTCCTCCCTGCCACTCCCCTGCACACACAAGTCTTGTCTGAGGCCCTTTGTTTATAGAATGGAAGTGAATGTTTCACCTAGATTTTCTCTCTCTGCCTTGTGTATATTATCTTCAGGGCGGGAGCTGAAAGCACATGCGCGCGTGTGTGTGTGTGTGTGTGTGTGCACAGACTCTCGATTTTCCAGCCACGGGTGATTCCCAGGAAGGCTCAACTGGCCCATGTCTCATCCCAGGCCTGCACTTACTCCCCTGCCGTCCGGGGCCTCCCTGGTTGACAGGGGCACAGCGGAGGCTGGCTCTTTGTCACACTGAACTCTGTCAGACGTGACCAGGAAGGGAAGTCTGTTGAGACAAAAACACAGGAATCCCTTTCCAGGCCAGATGGGGTGGTGGTGGATTGCTGGCTGCTTGGTGGGATTTGTTTGGAAGGCAGGAGTCCAGCTGACTGTCCTGGGGAAGGCAGATTGGTGTGTGTGTGTGTGTGTTGCAATATGTGGCTGCTACCCAGCTTTGTGGGCAAATGAGGCCTCTGACCCTGGCGTCAGAGGCTAAAGTGGCGCAGAGGTGGGTTCTTCAGTCACAGGGTAGTGACAACCATCCCCCCAAAGAGGAGAGCAGGGTCCTTCCAGGAGAGGCCGTTGAAGGCTGACAGCAGGACTCCAGGACAGGGGGGTGGGCTCCAGGGACCTCCTACTGGGCGATTGGCAGCAGCAGCTGGGATGGGGAACCAGGGCAGCTGGCACCTTAGATAGAACTGGGACCTGACCCTTGGATGTTGGCGTCATCTCATCCAGGGAAGAAGGGGGGTGGGGTGGGGGTACTGGGAAGAGAGGCACTCCTTCTCACCCCAGGAGTGATGGAGCCCAGCTCCCTGCAGGAGCGACCCCAAAGTGCAGTTTTGGCAGGACCGGTCCGTGGCTGGGAATTGTCAGATGCGTCTGGCTCTTGTTAGGGACAGGCCGAGGGGGGCAGTCTAAAAATACCCAAGGCATAGCTGCCACCCAGTGAGAGCACCGGCCTGTGACTGGACAACCACAGAAGCACTCGCTGTCCCAGCTCGTCACTGGGGCTCTTCCAGGCGCCTAAGCCCTGGGCAGAGGCTGGGAGGGGTGAGAGCGCCCTGGACCTCCGTGGGCTAAGATCAGTCTTTCAGGGGCATAAGGGCCTTAGTATGGATATGAGAGTTGGACCGTAAAGAAGGCTGAGTGCCAAAGAACTGATGCTTTCAAGCTGTGGTGCTGGAGAACATGCTGGAGAGTCCCTTAGACTGCAAGGACATCGAACCAGTCAATCCTAAAGGAAATCAGCCCTGGATATTCATTGGAAGGGCTGATGCTAAAGTTGAAGCTCCATTACTTTGGCCACCTGATGCAAAGAGCCGATTTATGCTGGGAAAGATTGAAGGCAAAAGGAGAAGGGCTGACAGAGGATGAGATGGTTGGATGGCATCACTCACTCGATGGACATGAGTTTGAGCAGGCTCCGGGAGATAGTGAAGGACAGGGAAGCCTGGCGTGCTTGGGGTCCATGGGGTCACAGAGAGTCGAACATGACTTGGTGACTGAACAACAACAAAGGGCCTTAAAAAGCCCCAGTGTAACTGCTAGGGATGCTCAGAGAGGTGGAGTGACTCACTCGAGGTCACTCAGCAGGTTGGCAGCAGGACCTGGACTAGAACTGGGTCTGGGGACTTACTGCCAAGGAGCTGGATGACTGGGAGTTGCCAGTGGGTTCCTAGGCCAGGTCCCCTTATGGTCCCCCAGGTCCCAGGGACCCTTATGACATGTGTCATCCATCCAAGATGTTGAGTTTCCACGCTCATGTGCTGATCAGTGAAAGGTGGGCCAAGAGCCATGCTCAGGCAGTGGGTCACTTCCCACTGGCCTTGGGTCACTCCCAGACACAGCTGCTGGGCTCTGGGAATATCATCCATCCTCAGGCAGGAAGTAGGAAGACTTGGGGGCTGCAGAGAAACCGTCTTCCCGTCTGAGGACACGGTTTGTTCACAGGGTGTCTCCAGGGCTTAACAAGGAGTTGTTGACGTGAATAGTCAAATTCCCAGGACTTTCACCTTTTTGGGAAGCCAGGCTTCAGTTGATCTAGAAAGGGATTGAAGCTGAAGAGATTCTCCAACTTCCTGCCCGCCTTGGACAGGTTAGATAACATCAGCTTCTAGAAGCTTCCTAGCACTCCTGGGTCTAGAGCTGAGGGATATAAGCTCTAGATATTTGGATATTTGGTGCCAAAATTGAGCTGAGAAATTTGGATGTGAAACATCTCTCACCCTGCAGGATGCAGAGAGGGACTGGTTAAGTCTCTCAGTGCAAACTGCTTGTAAGCCTAAGATCACTAAGTTTGCCCAATAGAGAAGTCGCTTTGAAGGTTTCCCTTTCTGATGCTTTTGATCACAGACTTCTCTGGAGAGCTTTCTTTCCTTAAAATGAAGTTAGTTAACAATTTTTGCAATGAATGCATGTAACTCAAGTCTCATTCATCTTATTCTAATGAATGTTTCCCAAAGCGTGTTATCACTGGTGGTAACCAAGATCATTTTTAAAAGTTCATAGCTGAATGTGAAACCAAAAAAAAAAAAAAAAAGATAATAATGTCTTTTTCTCCATTGATATTTGGGGGAAAAAAAAAACACAAATAGAACACAAATCCATAGTTTCACTACTGCATAGGGTGAAACACTGAAGTTGATGTTTTAAACTCTAAAGCATTTTTTTGAAATAATGGAAGGTGTCATTAATAAGCAGCGATGATCCTTGGGTTTGGTAAAAATCTTAGTGCAAAAGGGACTGCCTTTGAGGAGATGGCATAAGTGTAAGTGTTAGTCGCTCAGTCCTGTCCGACCCTTTGCGGCCCCATGGGCTATAGTCTGTCAGGCTCCTCCATCCATGAGATTTTCCAGGCAAGAATATTGGAGTGGGTTGCCATTTCCTTCTCCAGAGATGTTCATCCTTTTGACAACAATCCTGAAATATCTGTGAGCTCCCCGCCTAAGCTCCTCTTCTGCAAAGAGGCCCCAGCGTTCAGCTTCAGACCTGATGTGCCACTCAACTTCCAAAGGAGTCTCTGCATCTTTGATGAAGGTCATCATGCCCCCCCTCCCCCGATGCCTTGGACGGTTGTTCTGGGGATCGGGAGAGTTGGAATATTGATGTTTGTGGAAGTGACTGAAGGTGTTTCTGGTTTGCTTGAACCAAAGGAAAGCTGAGGGAGAGTCTGGCTTGCCCACTTTCATCCCGATGGCTGTGATCACGTGACTGGGCAGTGAGCCGTGTAGGCAAAGGGGGATTTCCCTCTCTTCAAAGGAGGTTTCTGTCCCATGAAGAAGATGGTGGGTACAAGGATGTATGTGCCAGGAGCAGAGTCACAAGATGGGGTTTCAGGGGAGCCCATGTCATGGTGTGCAAGAGTTTCCTCAAGCCTGTCGGACTGCAGAAGGGCTTGGAAGAGTCCCTAGAATTCTCCTGGGCAGTGATGGCTCCAGGTTTGCAGAAAGGAGGGAGAGAAAAGGCAGAGGCTGCGGGCAGAAGTCTTGCTGGAGCAGATGCATGTGTCTCGTTAGCCTGCAGTGCGTGGTGCAGGAGGGGAGGGCAGGGCTGGGGGCTGAGGTGGTTGGTGGAGATGAAGGGGAAGGGGGCTTCCCTCCACATCCAGATGAACCTGGCTGGGGAAGCAGGAGTGATGATGTTCACACTGCAACACTGGGATGAAAAAAGAGAGAGAAAGGGAAAGAAGCAACTAAATATCCATCAGTCACATTAGGGAGTATCTTACAGAAGTGAAGCTTCCCTGGTAGCTCAGATGGTAAAGAATCTGCTTCCAATGCAGGAGACCTGAGTTCGCTCCCTGGGTCTGAAAGATCCCCTGGAAGAGGGCATAGCAACTCACTCCAGTATTCTTGCCTGGAGAATTCCAGGGATAGAGGAGCTTGGCAGGCTACAGTCCATGGGGGTCACAGAGTCGGACAAGACTGAGCGACTAACACTTTACAGAAGTTAAAAAGAGCAAAATTCAGGGTCAAAGCAAAATTCCCTTGGCAGTGCAGTGGTTAAGACTTGAAATCCCAATACAGGATTTTGTCCCTGGTTAGGGAACTAAGATCCCACATGCAGAGTGGCCAAAAAGCATAAAAATTAAAATTAAAAAAAGACAAGATTCAAGGGGGGCGGGTGTGGGTGGGAGGGGTAAAATAGGTGGAGGGGATTAAGAGGTACAAACCTCCAGTTATTTAGTGAATAAGCCACGGGGATATAATGTATTTAACTATTAGACTTATTATGATGGCTATTTCATAATGTGTGCAAATGTCAAATCACAATGTAGCACACCTGAAACTCACATATTGTACATCAATTATATTCTCAATCAAAATTGTCTAAAAATTTAGATCTCAGAGGACAAAACTTGGACGTCCATCTCTCTGTACCAATACAGAAAGGTCGATAAGTAACAAAGCAATTTATGGGAAAATACACATAATATACATAAAATATACATAAATATATACACAAAAGCAAACAGAAAGGAACAGTGTTCCTATGGCCTCATATGTGTTACACGTATGCAAGGGAAGTGACTGGAAGGACATATCAGAATCAATCAGTGTGGCTGCCCGTGCAGACGTTGAAAGGAAGGAATGGACTGTGGGCCTGCAGTCTTGTTTGTTTCCGAGAAAATATATTCAAGAGTTACATAAGTGTGGTAGTGGTGGTGGCAGTGCGGTTGCTAAGTCATGTCTGACTCTTTTTCGACCCCATGGACCGTAGCCCGCCAGGCTTCTCTGTCTATGGGATTTCCCAGGCAAGAGTGCCTGAGTGGGTTGCCATTTCCTTCTCCAGGGGATCTTCTTGACCCAGGAATCACCTCCTGAATTGCAGGTGGATTCTTTACTCTCTGAGCCACCGAGGAAGCCCTAATGTGTGTACGTGAAGTTCAGGAATAATGAAAAAGTCCTCCCTGAATTTGGGAAGCAGTGTGAGTTTTTCAGCTTTGGAGTGGGGAGCTTTAGGAGGTGGGGGGCGATGGTAGACAGCCTAGGTGGGGGCAATCCAATGGTGGCGTAACCAGGACCTGTGCCGTTCAGCTTCGAGGGAGCAGGCCCCTTGAAACATCCCTTTGTGTACCTCTCCTGGCCGTGATGGTTTTCCGTCTGGATGCTGTCACCAGACAAGTGGTAGTTCGGGGAGGGGGTAATGTGGTCCATTTAGGGTGTGTTAGGAATCCACCTGCAATGCAGGAGATGAAAGAAACTCAGCTTTGATCCCTGGGTTGGGAAGATCCTCTGGAGTGGGAAATGGCAACCCACTCCAGTATTCTTGCCTGGAGAATTCCATAGACAGAGGAGCCTGGTGGGCTACAGTCCATGGGTTCGCAAACAGTGGGACATGATTGAGCACGCACACACAACAGGGCCATTATGAGATCCCTGGAAAGGTGTCCAGGAGACCATTAGGATTGGGAGTCTGGGGTTTTCACGAAAATTCAAAGAGACACATAAAGGGTCTGGAACTGTGCTGTAGGTTGGTGTTTGAGAATAGGAGAAAATGACTTACACTTTGCCAGTGTTAACAGCAATAATTTGCCATAGCATTTATAGGGTGCAAAGCAGTTTGGGCCACTTGCTTTACAGCCTCTGTCTCATTTGTAATGAATAACAACCCTCTGGGGTTAGGAGAATCATCATCTCTGCCCTATGGATGAAGAAACAGAGTCTTAAGAATTTTGCGTTAGGATTTGAATCCCAGTCTTGTAGGCCCTGGGGGCTTCTCAGGTGGCTCGGGGTAAAGAATTCTCCTGTCAATGCAGAAGAGGCGGGTTCAATCTCTGGGTCCAGAAGATCCCCTGAAGAAGGAAATGGTAACCCACTCCAGTATTCTTGCCTGGGAAATCCCATGGACAGAGAAGCCTGGTGGGCTACAATCTATAGGGGTCACGAAGAGTCGGACTTGACTTAACAACTAAACTCCAACAAACTCTCGGACTCTGCAGACACTGTTCCATTGGATGGTTGGTTGGGTCCCATCACATCCCTCTTTTTAACAGACATCTGAGTCCTCTTGGAAAAAACCCTGGTCCTTTGGGCCAAGAAAGTGTCTTTGCTGCCAGTGTGCTGATATATGTCTTAGAGGCCTGTGTTCTTCCTCTCAAGTCAGCTTTCTCAGTCCTGAGGGTCCTGGACCACATGAGGGTCCTTTGCCTTTAACAGCCTGGTCACAGAGAACAGAACTCACCTCCACCCCTGCCCTGGGCAAAGCCATCTTGATTCCTGTGTTTCAGATGTGTGTGTGGAATGGAGAAGGAGTCCTCTTTCTAAGCGGTGATCACTTCCATTACTTCTGACGGCCTTCGTTTGAGGGCCCAGATCTGTTGAGCTCCCTGGGCTTTCTCCAGCACTCTCTAGCACAGAGCGAAGTGTGCAGTGCGTACTGAGTTGTACCTGATGCTCTGCGAGCCTCTGAGCTGTAGCCCGCCAGGGTCCTCTGTCCGTGGGATCCTCCAGTCAAGAATACTGGAATGGGTTGCCATTTCCTTCCCCAGGGGATCTTCCCCACTCAGGGATCGAACCCACATCTCTTGTGTCTCCTGCACTGGCGGGCGGGTTCTTTACCGCTGAGCCCACCTGGGTGGGGTGCAGTAGGTGCTCAGTAAGTCTCTGTTGTGTGACTAGCCGAGGGAGGGCTGTCCCCCCAGGAGTCCCTGGTTTTCCTGCTCTTCAGCCCACCCCCGGGAAGAGTGGCAGAAGGGAGGCCCCCTGCCTTGGATGAGAAGCGGGCAGGAGGCTGCGGGGGTGGAGATGGGCGGCGTGGAGAAGGGCTGAGGGCAGCTGCTCCCCTCCCCACCCGCTGCAGTTGGTTCAAGCCCAAGTGGCACAGTCAGCATCCCCATGTCAGCATAACATGGGGTCACATTCTTCTAGGCCAGAGCCCGAAAGAGGCTTAATCATCGGCCCTCCCAGAGTGCGGTCTGCACGCCCACAGGCATTTGGAGATGCTTTCTGTAGCATACAGGCAATGTTGCAAACTGTAATACGCTCTTTTTTTTTTCATACATTACTAAAATGTCAGTCACTTGGCAAGTGATATTGACTTTCCGTTTATAGTATAATACACATTGAAGGGGCTTCCCTGGTGGCTCAGTGATAAAGAATCTGCCTGCCGATGCAGGAGATGTGAGAGACTTGGGTTTGATCCCTGGGTCAGGAAAATCCTCTGGAAGAGGAAATGGCAACCCACTCCAGTATCTTGCCTGGAAAATTCCCTGGACAGAGGAGCCTGGTGGGCTACAGTCTATGGGGTTGCAAAGAGTCAGACACGACTAAGCACATATCACTATCACAAAATAGTGAGTATAATTCTCTGTGCCACTGTTTTCATTTCCCTGGGGTATTTACCCAGGTGTGGAATTGCTGGGTCCTTTGAGTGCCGAAAAATTGATGTTTTTGAACTGTGGTGTTGGAGAAGACTCTTGAGAGTCCGTTGGACTGCAAGGAGATCCAACTATTCCATCCTAGAGGAGATGAGTCCTGGGTGTTAATTGGAAGGACTGATGCTAAAGCTGAAACTCCAGTACTTTGGTCACCTCATGCGAAGAGTTGACTCATTGGAAAAGACCCTGATGCTGGGAGGGATTGGGGGCAGGAGGAGAAGGGGATGACAGAAGATGAGATGGCTGGATGGCATCACCGACTCGATAGACATGAGTTTGAGTGGACTCCGGGAGTTGGTGATGGACAGGGAGGCCCGGCATGCTGTGATTCATGGGGTCGCAAAGAGTTGGACACGACTGAGCGACTGAACTGAACTGAACTGAACTGATGCTAACTATGTGGTGAAGTGGTAAAGAATCCACCTGCTAATGCAGGAGATGCAAAAGACGGAGGTTCGATCCCCTGGGAGATCCCCTGGAGGAGGTAATGACAACCCACTCCAGTATCCTTGCCTGGAGAATCCCGTGGACAGAGGAGCCTGGTGGGCTGCAGTCTGTGGGGTCATAAAGACTCGGAAGTGACTGAGCACCTGCACACATGGTAACTCTGTGTTTAATTGTTTGAGGACCAGCTAGACTTTCCCACCGTGGCTGCAGCATTTTACATTCCCAGCAGCACTGGATGAAGTTTCTCTGCTTCCCCGAGTTTTAATTCCGTTCCCAGCCCTGTCCTAGTTTCTGGCTCCTAAGAAACCTCCACTGGTGGGATTCCTACAGGTCTAGAGCAGGTTGCGGGGGGCCGGGCTCCTGGGTTTAAGCAAGGGCCCACCCAAGGTTCCGGGCTGGGCTGGGCCCCGCTGAGTAGGCGGGGGGATGGCAGGGAGGAATGAAGGGCACATGGGGGCCACCTGCGAGAACTGGACACCATGGAAGGCAGAGCCCTCCATGGGGCTGTTTTCTGCAGGACCCTGGCGCTGCCAGTACCACATCGTGTAGTGCGTTGGTCTCTCAGTGGTGTCTGACTCTTTGCGACCCCATGGACTGTAGCCTGCCAGCCTCCTTTATGTGGCAGGAATTCTCCAGGCTTGAATACTGGAGTGTGTTGCCATTCCCTTCTCCAGGGGATTTTCCCAATCCGGGGATGGAACCCGAGTCTCCTGCATTACAGACAGATTCTTCACCATCTGAGCCACCAGGGAAGTCACTCGGTGACAAGGTGGGTCTCTTTTCAGTTGACATTCGGGTCTTCTGATTCCATCAAGGGGAAGATGCCTCTCTGACTGTAATTTACCTTCTTTTTTTTAAAGCTATATTTCTTTTTATTAGGCACAATATCACAGGCAGTATGCACTCTTTGTGTCTGGCTTCTTTGACTCAGTGTAAGGTTTTGTGAATCATCCATGATGTGCATGTAGTAGGTGTTCCTCTTGTTCCTTTTTCATTGCTGAGTAGCGTTCCATTTTATGGCCATGTCACATTCTGGCTTTGTGTGTGTGTCTGTGTGGTCATGACACATGCTTGCAGGGTCTAGTTCCCTGACCAGGGACGGAACCTGGGTCTGCTGCAGTGAAAGCGTGGATTCCATCAGGGATTCCATCAGGGGGAAGATGCTTCTTCAATTCTAGTTTTCCTTCTTTAACCAGACAGAGCAGGTCTCCACACAGCCCTTTGGAGGACAACAACATTGAACCAGAACTAGTGAACCATGGCTTTTTAAGTGGGGGTGGCTGTTAATTTTCATGCTGATTTTCCATTCCCGGGGAGCTAGGAGATTTCTTCTTGAAATGCATGTATTTCTCTTAGAGAGTGGATTTATTTAATGACAAACACAAAGTAAAATCTGACAGTGGTTCTCAGGAAGGAGGTAAGCTGATGACTGAAGTTTGGAGAAACCTTCTTCTAATGTTTAGGACTCAGTTCTCAGGTGCTGTGTCAGGAAGTGGTGAGGTCTCCAGTCCCGGGCCTCATACAAATGGAGACTGGTTGCTATAAAAATAATCCAGGCAGAGGCTGGGGCGGGGGTGATTCTGTGTGATCACACAGCACCCTTTAGCTGAGACTGCATGAGTCTGCGATTCTCATTGTGTGGGGTCCACTTCCCAATCCCACGGCTGGATGGTGTCATAGCCACAGATGCTCATCATCAGAGGTGGCCCAGCTGGATGGGCAAGAGGTCTGGAGGGCTGCCTTTCTTTCCAGCCAGGCAATCTCACAGCTCCCCCCCACCCACCCTGGGGCATGCTGGTGGGGATATGTTACAGGGTGATTCCAAGTTCATGGGGATCACTCCCCAGCTGGCTCAGCATCTGTCCCAGTCTTGGATGTTTAACAGAGGGCATCCCTTCCTTTTGTTCCTTTTTTGTTGCTGAGTAGTATTCCATTTAATGGCTGTGTCACACCCTGGTTTTGTGTGTGTGTGGCCACCACATGGCTTGTGGGATCTAGTTCCCTGACCAGGTGCCCCCAAACCCCTAATTAAAGGACACGACCTGCCAGCTCTCAGGTTAGTGAGTCTGTATGGGCTGCATAGGTATCCCAAAGGAGAGCTGCTGTTTTAGTCAGGGTTCTCCAAGAAACAGAGCCAAGAGAATGTGTATACGTTTGTGTGGCAGAGGATGTGATGGTTAGATAGCATCACTGTCTTAGTGGACATGAATTTGAGCAAACTTCAGGAGACAGTGAAAGGCAGGGAAGCCTGGTGTACATGGGGTTGCAAAGAGCTGGACATGACTTAGTGACTGAACAACAACTGTATATGTGTGTGTATACACCTCTCTC